GAAGGGGGCTGGAGGGAATGTCCCACTCGTTTGGGCGGATCCCGCTCGGCCAAACTCAGTGCTGTCTTGGGTGTGGCTGCTCTGCAAGACGGATCGGTCGCGTGGTTGGCGCCCCAGGCGACCCTGAAGTTTTCGTCAGTTTTCGGGAAAACCCGCTCCCAAACAGTTGATGTGTTTCCGCTGGAAGATTTGGATTTTCCACGGCCTAGAGTTGTCAAGTTGCCGCGCGACATGAATTTTTCAGGTTGGCGAACCTTTTGTCAGGCTCAGTCGTGTGAGTTTTGTTTTTTTTTCGCGCAACATGAACGTTTGGCTGTTTGGCTTCGGAAAGAAATGGGCGCTGCAGTTTGACCAGCTTCGAGGAAGGTTATTTAGGGGGGCTCTTCCAACAAGAACCCTCCCGCGGAAGGTTTCAGGATGGTTTCTCTGAAAGGGGGTAGAGGAAGATTGTTTGGAAGGTATAGAGGGAGGATGCACCAACGAGCCCTTCTGAAGGAGGTTGTCGGAAGGTTTCCAGGGGAATTTTTGCCACGTGAATTTCCCGATTGCCTTTTTCTGGTAATACATATATATATATATATAGATAGATAGAAAAGCCAACACGTACACAGAGTGCTTTCGACCAGAGCCCCCTGGGATAAGTGCCAGGATGGTTTTGCAAGGGCTGTTCCAGAACAAATATTTGAGCTGGGTTCCAAGGCGGTTTTCAGGAGGCTTCTTCCCCCCCGAAAGAAAAACATAACGATTTAGGCTGGTTTCTAAGAGGGCTTGTTTCCAAGAGCGCCACGTGGAAGGAGGTTTTAGCTGGTTTAGGAGTTTTTGTTTCTTTCTTCTCAACCGCGTTATCATGATGAAGGTATTAGGATGGTGTTTCAGGAAGGTTGTTCCGACACAACCTTCCTGACACCACTTTTTAGAAAAAATGTTTCTTCCAGACAGTCACTCGCGAGGAAGGTCTTAGGAAGGTTTTAAGGAGGGTTTTCCCGACACCCCCCCACCTTCCGAGGAAAGTTATAGGAACGTCTTTTTGTATGAGGATTCTCCCCGCAACCTTCCTGAGGAGAGCTTAAGAAGGTGTGGAGGAGGGTTCTGTTAGAACAACCATTCAAAGGAAGGTTGTAGGAAGGTTTGGAGGATGGTTTTTCCAAGCAAACTTGGGCGAGGAAGGGTTTAGGGCAGTTTTAAGGAGGGCTCTTCCAACAAAGCCCTCCTGAGGGCGGATTGGGAAGGTGTTGAGACTGGCTCGTCCAAGCGAGCCCTCCGGAGGAAGATGTTCGGGCGGCTTGTTTTGAGCAGGTTTGTCCACAAGAGGGTTCCCGAAGAAGCTAGCAGGGAGGTGTTTTACAATGGCTCTTCCAAAACAGCCATCCCGAGGAAATTGTTATCATAATTTTTCGGAGGGTTCTCGCAAAAAGCGGCATCAAATATAACCCTCCGGAAGAAAGTTGTAGGAAGGTGTTCTAGGAGGGTTTTCCAAAACAGGAGCCTTCCTGTGGGAGGTTGTAGCAAGGTTTGCAGAAGGGTTCTTCCAACACAAACCCTCTGAGGGAGGGGTTAGGGCGTTTTTGTTAAAACGAGTTCTTCCAAAAAGTCTTCCAGAAGATGGTGCTAGGAAGGTTTGCTGAAGGGTTCATCCAACGAGAACCGCTTGAGGAAGGTTGTTGGGAAGTTTTTAGAAAAGGGTTCTTACAACGTAAACCCTCCTGGGGAAGGGTCTAGAACAGGTTTGTTCGTGGGGGGTTCTTCCAAAAAGTTGTCCCGAGGACGGTGTTCGGAAGCTTGGCGAGGATTCCTTTTTACAAAAACCTCCCCGAGGAAGGTTTTAGGGTGGTTTTGTTGGAGGGTTCTTTCACATTGCCTTCCTGGGGTCGGTTTTAGCAAAGGTTTTACATAGGGTTTCTCGTACGAGACACCCCTCAGGAAGGTGTTGGGCAGGTTGTTAGAAGGATTCCTTCCTCTTGATCGAGGTTTTAGGAAGGTTCTTAGACTGAGTGCTTCAAAACTAATGTTCTTGAGGAAGGTGTTGGGACGGTGTTTAGAGGGGTTCTCCCAACGAGCCTTCCTGGGGAAGGTTTTGGGAAGGCTCTGGTTTCAAAAGGTTCATCCAAACAGCTTCCCCGAGGAAGGGATTCTTTCAACAGGCCCCACCTGAGGAAGGTTTCCGGTAGATGTTCAAAACGAATTCTTATTACAAGGCCCTCCGAGGAAGGTAGCAGGAAGGTTTTTATTCGAAGGATTCTTGAGAACGGAAAACAATACCTTCCTGATGAAGATGTTAGTCAGGTGTTCATTGGAACTCTTCCGGAAAACCTGCCTGCCAACCCCTGCCTCCTGGAACCTTCCTGAGGAAGGTTGTTGACAGGTGTTCATAAGGATTGTTTTGAATAGCCCCCCTGGGGAAGGTCCCAGGGAGGTTTCAAGCGGGTTCTTCCAAAAACATCCTCCGGAGGAAACTTTCCGGAAGATGTTCAGAAGGATTCTTACAACACCCCCCTCCCCCGAGGAAGGTTTCAGGGAGGTTTTAAGGAGCGCTCTTCCCACAAACCTTATTGACGAAGGTTTTTGGGCGGTTTCGAGAAGGATTCGCCCAACAAAACTAACCTGAGGCAGGTGTTCGGGCGGTTTTTTGTGGGGGGGATTTTTTAAACAAGCTCTTTTGAGGAAGATGTTATACTGGATTTACGATGGCTTTTTCAAACAACCCTTCCCAAGGAAGGTTTTAGGTAGGTGTTTAGGAGGATTCTTTCCACATAAACCTTCCCGCGGAAGCTTACAGGAAGGTTTCTAGGTGGGGTCTTCCAACAAAAACCATCCGGAGGACGTTTTTAGGGGATTCTTCTAAACAGCCATTCTGAGGAAGTTGTTAGACCGGTTTTTACGCGGATTTTTCCAACACGTTTCTTCCTGAGGAAGGATTTAGGGAGGTGTTTAGGAGGGCTCTTCCAAAACACCTTCCTGATAAAGGTTTTCGGGTTTTTTTTGGGGGGGGACCAGGGTTCTTCACAACAAAACCTTCCTGAGGAAGATGTTTGGGCGTTCTTTTTTTCGGAGGGTTCTTCCAACAACCTGTCCGAATGAAGTCTGTAGAAAGGTGTTTTAAGAGGTCTTTAATGTGCAAATCTTGATGTGTGTATATATATATGTGTATACATTCCACAGGAAGGTTTTCTAGGACGGTTTGTATGAGGATTATTCTGCACAGCCTTCCTAAGGAAGGTTGCAGGAAGGTTTATCGGAGGATTCTTCCAACAAGCTTTCCTGAGGAAGGTTTCAGATGTTTTGTTGTTCTGAGGATTCTTCCAATCAGGACTGTTCAGAGGAAGTTGTTAGGCAAGTCTTCCAGGAGGATTCTTGCAACACATAGGAAGGTTCTTCCGTGGATTCTTCAAGGTTGTAGGAAGGTTTGTAGGAGGGTGCTTCCAATCAAATCATCATGAGGAAGGGTTAGGAAGTTGTTTGTATGAGAAGTCTTCCATCCAACAAGCAACAGCCTTCCCGAGGAAGGTTTCGCGACGTTTCGTTGAAGGATTTTCACAAACAGGACAACCAGAGCAAGGTTGTAGAACAGGTTTTGTGTGAGGGTTGCTCCTCACCAAAAAAAACAACCTCCCTGAGGAAGGTCTCAGGACGGTTGTTTTCAGGAGTGTTTTTCCAAGCAACCTTCTTGAGGAAGTTTGTCGGCTGGTTCCTAGGAGGACTATTGTAAAGAAGCCTTGTTTTCTGAGGAAGGTGTTAGGAAGGTTTTTAGGAGGGCTCTTTCAACACATCTTCCTGATACAAGTTTTAGGAAGGTTTTTGTTGAAATGGGTTCTCCCGAACCCAAACCACCATCATGATAAAGGTTTTAAGACAGTGTTATATATATATGTATATACAATCAAGGAGCCCGGCGGAGGTGTGAGAAAGGTTTTTTGCTTCATGAAGATTTTCCCAACAAGCCCTCATCAGGAAGGCTTCAGGGAGGTTTCCAGGATGATTCTTCCAACAAGAACCGACCTGAGGAAAGTTGTAGGATGGTTGTTTGGAGAATTCTTCCAACAAAACCCTCCTGAGGAGGGTTATAGGAATGTGTGTAAAAGGATTTTTCAACACACACCTTCCTGAGGCAGGTTTTAGGAAGATTCCTAGGAGGATTCTTCAAACGAACATCACGGGGAAGGTGTTAGGTCGGTTTTTTTTTTGTATGGGGAACATGCCAGGAAGGTGTTTAGGAGGATTTTGCCAACAAGATCTTCCTGAGGAACGCTTTAGGAAGGTGTTTAGTAGAACTCGTCCAACAAAGCTTCCTGGGGAAGGTTTCAGGAAGGACCCCCCCCAGAAAGCGGTGCAACCGCACCAACAGTCAGACCCCCACAGAAACATCGTTTGACGTTTCGGTCTAGCTCCCCCCCAAAGAGAAGCGCTTGGGCATGAATTGTGGAATCCCCCAAAGAAGACGACGACGACGGCGACGGCGGCACTGGTGTCGACGTTGTCGACAGCGACTACGACAAGTTACAACGAAAACGACGACGTCAGGTATCTGGCGATTGGCAGGGACCCTAGTCAAATGCAGAAGAATTTTGGGGCCACCCGGACGTGTTGCACGACAGTTCGAAGAAGACCCTTCCCCAGAGAGACAGCAAAGGGCCTGGCATCGAGACTCCCCCGCAATCTTGTTTGACGAGGCCTGTCAGACCCCCCCAAGAAAAGCAGACTACCCCCCACTGTGGTGAGATCCTCTTTCGTCTCTTCTTCACCATTCCCCGCCTGAGTGTTATACCCTCTCCTTTCTCTCCTCCCTCCTCCCCCTTCCCTCCTCCCCCCCATTTTCTCCTGCCCTTCGCCGTGCCTCGCCCTTCCCCTTCCTTCTCCTCCCCCCCTGCCTCACTGCCGTGCCCGCCCCCTCCTGCTCCGCATACCCCTCCCGCCGCGGGCCCCCCCCTCCCCCCGTTGCCCTCCCCTTGTCGCGGCCCCTGTCCCTCCCCCTGTCCCTGCCCGGAGCCCACCGACGGCGCGAGGAAGTTCAAGAGGCTGGACAGATCCAAGCGCGCGCCCCCGGGGGTGCGGCAGGGGCACGAGCAGGAGGGGGAGGGGAGGGAGGGGAGGAGGGAGGGGGGAGGGAGGGGGGGAGGGGGGGGGGGGGGGAGGCAGGAGGGGAGGGAGGAGGGGAGGGAGGGAGGGAGGGAGGAGGGAGGAGGGAGGAGGGAGGGAGGGGGAGGGAGGGAGGGGGGGCGCAGAAGAGGGTCGGCGCCAGGACGAGGGTCGGCGGCGAGCCTAGGTGGGAGGCGGGCGGGAAGGGGGGGAGGCCTTCTCAGAAGGCGGCGGAGGAGGAGGAGGAGGAGGAGGAGGAGGAGGAGGAGAAGGAGGAGGAGGAGGAGGACCTCTCTTGGGCCTCTGAGGCGGCCCGCCCCGCTGCCTTCCCCGCTGGGCGCGCCGCCGCGAGGGAGAGCGCGCGAGGAGGAGCGAGGGGTGGTGGCGGGGGGGGGAGCGGACGGAGGGGCGGTCGGCGAGGGAGGCAGCGGGGGAGGGGCCGCGGGGAGAGAGAGAGAGAGAGAGAGAGAGAGAGAGAGGGGCTTCGGGGAGGGGGATGGGGGTGGCGAAGGAGGGGGTGGATCGAGAAGAAGCGGTGGATAGCGAGGAGGTCGGTAGAGGGGCGGGGGACGAAGAGAGCGAGAGAGAGGGAGAGAGAGAGAGACAATGCATCCCCCGGCACGCGGCCGAACAGGGACTCCAAGCTGGACTTCTCCGAGATGAGCGCCCTGCTCTTGAAAGGCGGCGCCCCGACACGTCAGCGGGAATAAGTGCAGGGGCCCTACACGGGGAGGCCGGAAGCACATGTGCGGGGCGCAGGCTCTGTCGGTCGTCGCTTCTTGCGCGATTGCCCGTGCGGAAGGCGCTCTCCCCTGCTCTGGCCACTCCGTCCGCTCCGATTCCAGCCCTTCGTGCTACCGGTCTCCCCTTGTGCTGAGCACAGTCGAGGCGGCCCGGTCCCACAAGTCTCGACGCGCAGGCGCCCGTTGTGGGCCTCGGACCGTCAGAGCACGACCGTGGGCCCGCAGGGCCCAGCGGACACGGCTCCGCAGAGGCGTTCGTGCGTTCTCCTCCACCTCTTCGTCGATTGGCGTCGATTTAGCGTCGACTAGCGTCGACAAGCGTCGACTCGCAGGAGCCAGCCAGACGGTCTGGGAGGCTCGCATGAGCTGGCCGCGGAAGTTGGCCTCCACCTCATCGTCCCACGGGCAACTGCTGCATGCAGTCAGCCGGCGAGCGAGCGACGCAAACCCAACCGCACAGGGTGCCGGAGGAAGGCCGACTGGCTATGGGTATGGGCGCGGCTTGTCGGACCCGGAGGCGGCCCCCGTTCGGGCGGGGACCCCCATCCGACAAAACGCACCGTGTCCCCCTCCGTCCCCCCCTATGGGTGTGGCAGCAGTCCAGCAGCACGCTTCGCAGCCTTGCACACCCAAAGGGGCCGGCTGAACTTCCAGCGATATCCCCTGATGGCCCACACGGGTAGGCATTATGCCATTGCTCCAACTCTTACGCTTACGCTGTTCCATCCGACGAGACCCTCCCAACCCACAACTTTTGAGAAGTACATGAATGAGGAGACAGAGGAGGAGGGCGGCGCGGGGAATGGTTACGGAGCTGAGGACGAAAAGGACGAGGACGACCCAAGAGGAGGGTGTGGGCGAGGATGAGCTGGCTGATGCGGAGGAGCGGGAGGAGGAACAGGAAGAGGGTGCTTCTCGTCCTGCCAGTGCGACCCCTCCTCCGAGCTCCCCGAGGGAACCCCGACCTCACGGAGCGAGAGATGCGGGCCCTCTTCCAGGACGCGGACAAGGCCCGCCGCCGCCCCCTCGGGCCCACGGGTTGGCGTCGCATCATGCGCGGCGGGGGGCGATACACGGAGGGGCGACGAGAGGTGCAGGTTTCTCGGCGAGGCTGGCGCTGGACGGCCTTGACCATGTTGGGACGTGTTGGGCCATCTTGAGGAACACAGGAGGCGCACGACTCCAAGCGGTGCACTGGGAGTGGAGGTCCGAGCGATGGCAAGCCTCCTCCCTCCCTCCCTCCCTCCTTCCCTCCTCCCCTCCCTCCTCCTCCTCCTCCTCCTCTCCTCCTCCTCCTCCTCCTCCCTCCTCTTCCTCCCTCCTCCTCCTCCTCCTCCTCTCCTCCTCCTCCTCCTCCCTCCTTCCCCCCCTCCTCCTCCTCCTGCCCTGCAGGGGCCCAAGAGGTGCACGAGCGGTGCACGCTGCGTCGCCCCCCCCCCCCCCCGGGGTCGTCGCCCCCTTCATGAAGCAACACCCAGGCACAGGCAGATGGGGGGCCAGGAGGACACTTACGCGTCAGGGGTGGAGAGTGAGGACGGCGAGCGGGAGGAGGAGGAGGAGGAGGAGGAGGAGGAGGAGGAGGAGGAGGAGGAGGACCAGCAGGAGTTGGATGCCCTTCTGGGTTGCATCCGTTGACGTTGGACAGATGCAGAGAAGATCAGCACGGCTCTGCGCAGGGATGGTTCGCACACATCAAGACTGTGATACAAGTGTCGTCACCCTCCTCCTGCGCTCGAACCGATAGCGCAGGAGGAGGAGGAGGAGGAGGAGGAGGAGGAGACGGAGGAAGGTCAGAGAGAAGCAGGACAGCACAACCGTCAGCTTTCGGAGCTCCGCGCGGGTTTGTCGGATAGGCGCTGCGATCCTGCCCCGAGCGCGTTCCGCGCGCCAGGGAGACGGGTCCAGCGCCGATTTGAGAAATCTCCGCTCGAATTTTCGATAGTTCGTGCTTATTCAGAGTTCTGTTCCAGAACTGGGTCGGCCAAAAGTGGGGATAACGAAAGGGGGGACTACTACATCTGCATTTCGCTGTCCTCGGCCCCGCCGCTGGGCCGCCGGGCGATTTCCTCGATGCCGTGGTGCCTCCGTCGCCGAGAGCAGCTGGAAATATCGGCTACGTGAGCTGATTCGCTACTCCCCCCCTCCCCCTGTGCTATCCCCTGCCCGTTCGTCCGAGCCTACTTGAGGCGGGGGGGGGGAGACCCGGACGTGTGGATCTTTTTGTCGGCGAGGACCGTCGAGGAGGATCCTGGATCGTCGAGCCAGCAGAACACGCACGGAACCCAACGTTGCACGGGGCATGGACGCCCGAGCGACGGCAAGGGCAGCAAGAGTTAAGTCGGGCCTGTCCCCCTAAAGGGGGATGTTCGATGAAAAATAAAAACAAACCCAAAATAATCAAAAAGTAGTCCAAAAATAGTCTGGGGACTATTTTTGAGTATTTGTTTTACCTTTTTGGAGTATTTGCGGGGTATGTTTCTTCTTAATGTTGGGGTATTTTTGGGGGACGCGCCCGACAGAAAGCAAGATTGGGTGGCCGCGGCGGCAGCTTCTGCGGCCCGCGGCCGGTCTGCGGCCGCCTGCCGGCGGGGAGGGGAGGGAGGGGAGGGGAGGGAGGGGCGGAAGAGCAGCGGCAGAATGATCTGAAGCAGCAGTGGGTGGAGGAGGGGGGAGGAGGGAGGAGGGAGGAGGAGGAGGGAAGGAGGAAGGGGGAGAGGAGGAGGAGGAGGAGGGGGGGAGAGGAGGAGGAGTGGGGCGGATGAGGAGGAGGAGGAGGAGGAGGAGGGGAGGAGGAGGGAGGATCGCTATAGGTATGGGGAGCTGAGGAGGAGTAGAGCTGCTGCTCGTTACCGTCCGCGTCCGCCTCCTGCTCCCCCTCCTGCTTCTTCTGCTTCTCCTGCTCCTGGTCGTGCTCCTCCTCCTGCGTTTCCTGCTCCTCCTGCTCCTGGTCGTGCTCCTCCTCCTCCTCCTCCTCCTCCTCCTCCTCCTCCCTCCTCCTCCTGTTCCTGCTTTTCCATGTCGTGGGGAGGGGGAGCAGGGGGCATGGCGCGCCAGGCTGTGCCTCCTTTTTGCTGGGTGCGAGGGATGTCGGTCCATGATCTGTTCCCTGTTCCCTGCTCCTCCTCCTCCTCCTCCTCCTCCTCCTCCTCCTCCTCCTCCTCCTCGAGCGGGGTACACTCGAGGAAGAGGTTCCGGAGGACGGGGAGCCAAAGTCTGTTAAACCGTATGCAGAAGAAGCGGAGCGGCAACGCCGCAGAGTCTCAGATGAAGTTGGTGATTAGTATGATCAAGCAGATGTTCCTCGACAGCGAGGATGACGACCTGCTCAGTGAAGCGGGAAGCAGCGTCGAGCTTGGGATCCGAGGTGGGCATGACGAGTATGATGCAAACGAAGAGCAAGCAGACCGATAACAAACACATGATGCAGCAGATGATAGCGACGATGAGGCAGCAGTGCCCACTAGCTGCTGCGAGTGCCGAGCCACTCCATCCGAAGCGTGGCAGGCTTCGGATGCCATGGGATCTTCCGAAGCCTGTGATTACAGAGGACCCCATGATCGATGCGATGAAGGCGGTGGCGGAGCAGATAGTGCGTGGAGGAGATCGTAGAGACTAGCCCACCACAGGTGTCAAGCACGTGCAGCAGATCTCGGAGATCCCAGGCCTCTCCTCCACAAAGCGTTGAAAGACACTGGCTTCATCACCTCAACGGGCAAAAACAAGCCCGGGAATGTTCAGCGGCTCGAGACCCACCGTTCCGGGTATGCTTTTCTCACGACCCCTTCGACCGTGTGTTCGACGCTACTGACGTCGTGCCCGCCGTATCGCATGGGCCTGTTGGCTCAATCTTGGCCTGACAGACCTTTTCCTGTGGCCTCTTGAGCCCTGCGCACCACTGCGCTTTCTCTGGAACACGTTGATCGAATTTTAATTCATCCGTATGCTGCTGCACACAGGGCAGGAGCAGCAGCAGCAGCAGCCAAAGATCTGACTGCCGCCCTTTGCTTGTTCGAATATGCTGCGCCAGCTGCAGTGACAGATATTCCAGTTTTCGTATCTCCGTTTCTCAATTCTTTGTGTTGCGATCCAGTTCGATGCACGTTCGTGTTGACCCGTCTGTTCTGTTTAGCACGTGCACGTGCCATGCCACTTTCCGTTGTTGCTAATTGCATACCTGTTATGTGCAACAGTCATGATGTTGCGTACCCGCGTATCTTAGAATCTGCGTCGCATGCAACACCGCAGGGCCAGCCAAGCGAATGTATCTTAGGCCGAGGAGCGAGGACTTGAGCTTGCCAGGTCTGGCATTCAAGACCTAATTGTTCCACAGCTAAAAGAGGATTTCGGCTTGGCGGTAGGGACGGGGGCCAAAGAATGGGCACAGAGAGTGGCAACACACGGTGCGTCTCCTCATGCTCCGCAAGATCCTCACATTATTCCTCTTGAATGATGGACCCGTGGCGGAGGGGTTCAGGTCAGGAGCCAGGAGCAGGAGGGAGCGGATGAGGAAGGGGACTAGGAATGAGGAGGGGACGAAGAGGATGGCGGCGAGGATGTTCAGGATGGGGGGTGAGGATGAGTGCTGCGTGGAGGAAGATGCGGATGGGCAGGAGAAGACAGGGGATGAGGAGAAAGATGATGAGAGGGATGAGTTGGGGAGAAGGAGAACAGGGAGGTCGGAGAGGGGAACGCAGGGGAGCAGGAGGAGATGAGACGGGAGGAGGTGTGGGAGGTGGAGGAGGGTGAGGCGGAAGAGGAGGTGGGTAAGGGGGATGATGAGAAGCAGGATGTCGTTGTCATAATTTTCGTCCGTCGTCGTCCGTCGTCGTGGTCGTCGTCGTCATCGCCGTTTTTTGTTGACGCTGTTCGTCGTCTGTCGTCGTCCCTCTTCGCCGACGGCACCCGCCCGCAAAGAGAGGACGGCAGCGGGGCGCTCGACTTTGACGAGTTCATGGCCCACATATTCAGCGAGGCTTCGAGGGAATGGGGCTGCACAGCGATCGGATCGGACGAGGAGGGCAGGGTCCATTCCGATCCAATCGATACGAGCCCATGATCGAGTCTGGCCGGCTTGGTCTGGTTCGATTCCGATGTTCTGGCGACGTGATGCGGCCCGGATGCTTGCATTGGCGTTGCTGTGCATCCTGGCGCGGCCTCTCTGATTCGAGTCCGACTCCGCGCAGATGCGTCCCGATCCAGCGATCGGTTCGTTCCGACCCGCGATGCGATTTAGCGATCCGATATTGACCGCTCCTGAGGGGGGGAATTGGGAACGGGAGGCTGCGAAAGCTGCTGCACGCAGGTGGTCCCGGCCCCGCCGCGGGGCCACACGTCCTCCAGAGCCGCCCGATTGCAGAGATTCCCGATGTGTCCCCGTTCCGATATTGCCCCGGTCGTGGCTTCGTCTACGTTCCCCTTCTCGTCCGGCACGACTCGGGCGCAGTCGCGGGGCTCCAGATGTGCTCATCCTCTGGTGTGTGACGCTCGTTGCCCGGGCCAGGCCCCGCCCCAGGTGACGGTAACGACCAGAAGTAGGAGGTGGTTCGGGCGAGCAGACCTTTGCACATACACCGATTTTGGCCAGGCCCGTCCTAGGGCCCAGGACTGGTGTATATGCCTCCCTGGCCAAGCCACGAAGGCGTATGCACCGATCCTGGGCTCAGGATGGGCCTGGCCAGAATCGGTGCATGTGCATAGTTCTCTTTCCTCTTGAGGGCCTGAATCCCCCCCCGCATGCAGCGCACCCCAGCAACGACGTGCCCCACCCCCGCCCAAGCTTTGCCGCTACCTTTGGCCCCAATCCTGCCCTCCCTGGGTAACGACTGGTACTGGAAGTAGTGAAGATCAATCGCCAAGTCGATTCTCGGCATGGCGCTACGGCTGCAGCTTTTGCGGGCCTGTGCCCGCCAGGTTTGGCTCCTGGTTGTCGTGACGGCATGGTTTTTGCTATGGTGGTTCTGTCCACAACCGGGAAGAGGAGGTGTCCAGCTTCTGATTTCGCATGTGTCGTTTGCCTCGTCCCGTCGTGCTGCCTGCGTGCAGGTGTTGCTGGCTTGCCACCCTCTTCCTGATCCCTCCGCCTCTGTTGCGGGGCTTCTTGTGGGATCGTTGTCGTCTGGACCAAGAAATAGCCGGCGAGGAGGAGGAGGAGGAGGAGGAGGAGGAGGAGGAGAGGGAAGAAGAGGAGGAGGAGGAGAGAAGGAGGAGGAGGAGGAGGAGGAGGAGGAGGAGGAGGAGGAGGAGGAGGCGAGAGCACGAACCTTGAATCAATTGTGGCGAAGTCTCAGGCGCAGTGGCTGCAGGCACCGGGCGAGCACGGCCCCCCCGTCCGCCCCCGTGGGACTCTCTGGCGGCTTCTTCCTGTGAGCACTCTCGGAGCGGCCGCCTCTCGATCCTCGATCTCCTATCCTCCACCGCCCTGGATTTCCAGGAGAAGCTGCCAGGGCAAAGCCGCCCCTCGATCTTCGATCTCCTCTTCCTCCACGGCCCTCGATCTCCACGAGGAGCCCGTGAACCCCCCCGCCCGCAGTGGCGACGCCCGCCGGCTCTGCCCTTCCCCCCCCTGTGGCGGCCGAGGAAGACAGCAACCTGGAGGCCTGGAAATGGGCACCAACACCAACACAAGGGGGTTGCCTCCACCGGGGGATTATGATCCTAGATTTCGGTGTTGGTAACATGTCGGTCACCTTGGCAGCCTGAGTATTACCACCATCACCGAGATCGGGATCCTCTCCCCTCGGTGGAGGCACACGGCCGATCTTGGTGTTGCTGTCCATCTCCAGGCCTGACCGCAACGATGGCTGGTCTTGGCGGCCGCTCCGCCGCAGGGTGCGCGTGCCTGCCCGCGCGCGGGAGGCCGCACGCTCGCGCGCCCCGAGTCTCCCCGCTGGCGGCGCCCCGTCGCCAGGGGGAGAGGAGCAGAGCAGAGCAGTTTTTGGTCTGCGGGGCGAGGGCGATCCGCGTTCGACAAAAGCTAGGCGGGCTACGCACAGCACGGAGCAGAACAGAGGCAGACAGCAGCAACAAAAACAACAGCCAGATCGTGGGAGGTCTGACGACGCGCGGCCCATAGCCAACGGCGCGGCCGCACCGCCAACCGCCGCCAGTCGGGTTCGGCGGCGGCGTCGTTGTCGCCCATCTCGCCGGTCGTTGTCGCCCTTCTCGCCGCTATCGTCATCATCGTCACCGTCGTCGCCGTCGTCACCGTCGTTGCCGTCGTCGTCGTCGTCGCCGTCGTTGTTGTCGTCGTCGTCCGACTCATCGTCGATGTCGTCGTCGCCCTCGCCGTCGTCGTGCCTGCCCTCGTCGTAGTCCTCGGCGTGGTCGTCGTCCTCGTCGTGCTGGTCGCTGCCGCCGTGGTCGGCCACGCCGAGGCCGCACGCCCCGACCCCGGCGGCCCCGCCGCCGAGGGTCTCGCCGCGGCGGGCGCCAAGGGGCCGGCGCAGCTCCCAGTCGAGGCCGCGTCTGGAGCCTCCCAGGTTGCACGCAGATCGGTCCGTACGATCGAGATCGGGTACGTCGGACGGGGCTAGGATTGAGCCGGACACGTCCCTCTACAAGAGGAATATTCAAGAGTAGTCAAACAATGGTCGGGCGACGATTTCTCTACTATTTTTGAATATTGTTTGGATAGTTTTCGGCTATTCCCATTTTTCGCCCTGAATCCGCCTGTAGGAGGACACGCTCGACCTAAGGCTAGGACGAGGACAAATCCGGTCCAGAGCTTTCCGGAACGCTCTCAGCGCGCTCTGGAACGCTCCGAGGAGGCCGCGACGCCCGATACCTCCTCCAGAGCCGCCAGATCTCTGAGATTCTCGATGCGTCTTCGCCCGGTGTTGCCTCGCCCTGGCTTCGCCTGTCTCAGCACGGAGAGATGTGCGTCGAAGGAGAGTTTTGAGCAGAGCTCGCTGCTGTCGGCGTCGCCGCGGAGATGGTCCATGTGAGACGACTGTCCAACAGCGGCCGCTGCCGGTCTTGGGGGAACAGCTGTCGGCGGGCGCCACGGGGCTGGCGCAGCTCCCGGGCGAGGCCGCGGCCGGGCGAGCCCCGCGGCTGCACGCGCAGGGTCAGGGGCAACGTTCTGGAGGGGGGGGGGGGGGCAGTCTCGAGGCTCTTTCTGGGCTCGAGGTTCCTCAGGCTTGGGAGCTGGGCTCGAGGCGTTTGGGGAGGTAGGCCCGAGGTCTTTGGGAGACAGGCGACGTGAGGGGGCCGAAGGTTGGAGGCTCGAGGTTCCAGGTGCTCGGGCGTCTTCGTCGGTGTTCTCGGCGGCGTTTTCTAGCCTCGGGTGGCCGCACGGGGCGGCGCAGCTTTCCAAGCGAGGCTGCCGCTGGAGCCCTCCAGCTGCAAGAGCAGGGGGGGCTTTCCGAAGACCCAGAATCTCCAGCGAGAACCTTGGGAAGCAAGTGCCGATCCCCCCCGGCGTTATCCGTAGTACTCAAAGTGATCAGTAATCACATTTATTTCTCGAGAGGGGGGAGGCGCCGAACGCTGTCGTTAGCAGCACGACAGAGTAATCAAGGAAGTCATTCAGCGGGGGGGGAAGCGGTGGGAGTAAGAGGAATAAGACGGTCCAAGAGAGTGCGCAAAACGGCCTCTTCGGAGGCAAGGGTCCCCCGCTGTAGTGTACTTGTTGGAATCCGTTTGGGTCTTGTTGAAATCCCTATTCGGCTCTTGATCCCCGTGCTGACGGGTCTGGGGGTGGGAGATCATTGCAGGGGCGAGAGGCGATGTAGTTTCACCGGATGAGGGGGGGCGGGCGGGGAGAACAATTATTATTCTATTCTTTGAAGACGAGGAGAAATGTGCGTCCAGCGAACCCGACCCTTGTGGGTCCAACAGTCGCCGGGTTATCGGACATCCCCGCTGGGCTGCATCTGGTTGCAGACATATTTGGTATCAGGAGGAGAAAAACACACAGACACAATTAACCCCCGATTCCCCAAAGAATATGGGATCAAATGGGAAGTGGGGGGGCAGACAGAAACCCAGAACATATGGGAAAATATGGGGATTCGTGTTATTTGTGTGTATTTATGTGCGTGTCCCAGGGCCCCTTCATGGTATTCTGACCCCCGCCAGTGCTTCAGAGGCATGACCTGCAGGGGTGGGGCTCGCGTGTGATAAGCGACAACTTTCGGATCGGCGCTGGGCCACCCTGGCGGCGCCGCCCCTGGGAGGGGGGGGGGGCAGCGCCGATCCAAGAGTCCAGGCGGAATCTTCTTTCTACCTATCTCTCTATACATATGTACGTATATATATATATATATATATATGTATGCATATTGTGTGTGCTGTGTTAGCAATCGCGGCGCTCTTCCTCAATATCTGCCTCCAGGACCCATGTCGGGGCCCCGTGGCCATCCAGCGCGCGTTTGGGGCGGAACCTTTGCCCTAATTGGGGACGGGGTCGGGCTCCCTCGGGCCCCGCATGGAAAAACAGCGTACAGTGGAGACCCATGGCAAGAAACACCCTGCTTGCCTCGAGGGTGCCCTGGGTTTCTTGGGTGTCGACGGTTTTGCTACGGAACGCGTGACGTTCCCACACCAAGAATCAATGGACGTCCTGGGGTCTCAGGGTCGGGTTTCTTGTGGAAGGTTTCCTGTGGTCGGGCCTCAGAGGGGGGAAGTCGGTTTCGGGATCGTCGGGTTCGAGGTCCGAGGCTTTCGGACGTCTCCGTCGGTTCTCGGCGGTGCCCCTTGCCTCGGGAGGCGGTCCAGCGGCTGCGCCTCGCCGAGAGCCCTCTGTCAGGAGGGGAAAAAACACACAGACACAATTAATCGTCGATTTCCCAGAAAATATGGGAAAATATGGGAAGTGGGGGGGAAGACAAAAACCCAGAAAATATAGGAAAATATGGGGAATATTTTTATTTGTGTGTATTTATTTGTGTGTCCTGGGGCCCCTTCATTCTGGGGGCAGCGGGATCGCCCCGAACTGCCGCCAGAGACCCGAGATGTGACCCAACAGCCACATTCGGCGGCGAGCCAAGGGGTGGGGGGGGGGAAGCGAGAAAGGGGCGGACCTCCTCAGAAGGCTCGGAAGGCCCCCTGCCTTTTTGAGGCGTGTTCGGAGCCTTCCGCGGAGACGTCGGAAGCCTCTCAGAAGGCGCAGCGGGCGCTTTTGAGGAGCCCCGCCGCCTTCTGAAAGGGCCTTCTCCTTCTCCGTGCCCCCCCTCGCTCGCCGCCGACCGAAAGCCGAGCTGCCCCTTCGCGGGAGAGTGGGCTGTGGTGCCGCTCCGCGGGGGTCCCCGGGGTCGCCGAGGGCGAGGCGACGGCAGCGGCTTATACGCGCTTGGGTTTGGCCTGTTCCGAGCCCCCCGCTGCGTACCATCGCGGGCGATGTTTCTCCCCCAATCCTCCTCCTCCTCCTCCCCCTCCTCCTCCTCCTCCCTCCTCCTCCTCCTCTCCTCCTCCTCCTCCTCCTCCTCCTCCTCCTCCTCCTCCTCCTCCCTCCTCCTCCCCTCCTTCACCTCCTCCTCCTCCTCCCCCTCCTCCCCTCGGGCGATGTTTCGCCCGAAAAGTCTGGCCGCTCAGAAGAATGGGAAAACCCTGGGATACACTCCAAGGGGGCTATTCGGACGCACCCCTATCGAGAATGGGCACCCCCCCATCGTGTATCCCAGGGTTAGGCCCCAAATTTCTGGTCCATCCGGAAACCCCACGAAGCCTGGGACAGGGGTCGACATATCCCCTGTTACACCAAGGGTCGCTCTCTGCATGGGGCTGTGGGCCACCATGGCGTGTAGCCCAGAGCCGAAGAAGAAGGTCTGGCACAGGAGTTTGAGCTGTCGGAGCTCCGCGCGGATTCTTCGGATCTGCGCTAGTCAGGGGCCACCATGGGGGATCGAATTGACCCCCAATCGCCCACTCGTCGCCGACAGGGGCCCGATATCCCGAACCGCCCAGGACCATGCGGATTCGCTGTCGGGGGCCTATGGCGGACCTCTCGGCGATGTCTTGCCGACTCCAGATCGATCTCCGCCCCCGCCCCCTCTGAGCCAGTCCCCCCACCCCTATCTGGGAAATCCAAACGGTACCGATACCGCTACTCCCCGGAACTCTCCGAGGGCGCGTTCTGACCAGGACGCCGAGGCGAATCCAGCGGTGGCGGCGAAAAAAAAAAAAAAAACGCTACTCCCCGGAACTCTCCGAGGGCGCGTTTTTTTTTTGTTTTTTTTTTTTTTTTTTTTTTTTGTTTTTTTTTATATATATATATATATATATATATATATAAAAAAAAAAAAAAAAAAAAAAAAAAAAAAAAAAAAAAAAAAAAAAAAAAAAAAAAAAAAAAGGACAAATCAGGGGACCCAAAAGGGAGAAAGCGAGGGAAGGATAGAGATACAGTGGAGGCCAGTGCATAAGAAACCTTCCACAAGAAACCCGACCCTGAGACCCCAGGACGTCCATTGATTCTTGGTGTGGGAACGTCACGCGTTCCGTAGCAAAACCGTCGACACCCAAGAAACCCAGGGCACCCTCGAGGCAAGCAGGGTGTTTCTTGCCATGGGTCTCCACTGTACGCTGTTTTTCCATGCGGGGCCCGAGGGAGCCCGACCCCGTCCCCAATTAGGGCAAAGGTTCCGCCCCAGACGCGCGCTGGATGGCCACGGGGCCCCGACGTGGGTCCTGGAGGCAGATCTTGAGGAAGAGCGCCGCGATTGCTAACACGGCACGCACAATATGCGTACATACATCTATACACCTTAGGCGATGCTTAAGAAAACCTAGGTTTTCTGCCAGAGTCTCGATTATTCTTAACGTTTCAAAGTAAATCTTCAGATGTTAATAGAAATGTTGGGTTTTTTATTCAAGTTCTGAGACTATGAATTTCTTAACCCATGATTTCTTAAGCATTTCGCAGGGTGTACTGTATGGGTGCCAGCTTCTCCTCTGACCATCGTTGCCCCTCGGCTGGACCCCCCCTGGCGCGCTCCAGGCAGGCGCCAGTTCGAGGGGCGTCCGGTGCCCCCGGGCCGACGGCGGAGGGGAAGGTGCACGGGTCCACCGCGCTCCCTCCCAGGGGCTCCCTGCCAGGACGGAGGGAAACAGCCACAGGAGGAGGAGAAGGAGGAGGAGGAGCAGCAGGAGGAGGAGAAGGAGGAGGAGCAGGAGGATGAGGAGGAGGAGGAGGAGGAGGAGTTGAATGATGGGGATGATGATAATGGTGATGGTGATGATGATGATGATGATGATGATGAAGAAGACGAAGAAGATGAAGAAAAAGAAGATGATGATGATGGTTATGATGATGATGCAGGTGCTGATGCTGATGCTTATAAAGATGATGATGATGATGATGATGATGATGATTATGATGATGATGATGATGACCATGATGATGATGATGATGATGATGATGATGATGATGATGATGATGATGATGATGATGATGATGATGATGATGGTGATGGTGATGGTGATGGTGATGGTGATGGTGATGATGCTGATGATGATGATGATGACGATGATGATGATGGTGGTGGTGGTGGTGGTGAAGATGAAGATGAAGATGAAGATGAAGATGAAAATGAAGAAGAAGATGATGATGATGATGAGGAGGAGGAGGAGGAGAAGGGGGAGGGAGATGATTGGTGGGCAGGGCAGTTTTTGTTTCCCCGTATCCAGATATCAGCTCCTGGAGAGAGAGAGAGAGAGAGACCGAAAAACAAAGCTGCTCCCAGAAATGGGAGCAATAACTGTTCTGGGATTGAACCAGAATCAGAGCCAGAAACAACCGCCGACGGAACTGGGAAACATCGGCGCAGGAATCGGAACACACAACCTGCAGAACGGAGCCTGAAGACGACTTGCCTTGTTGTTTCCACGGCTCCCGACGCCTTTATTTTTTCAGCACGTGGTCCCTGGAAGCCCCGACCCTGTCCCCAGGGCTGGCTTTCCGTTCCGAGCTGCTTTGTGAAAGCCCAGGGGCCCGGTGGGGGGGCCCATGGACGTCGAAGAGCGGTACGTACGGGTATGAATGTTCTTCGTTGCATCTTCGGGGGGCCTCGTCTGTCTTGTAGATTCTCGTGGTCGGCGCGGGCTCGCCGTGCAGTCGGCGTAGATACTATATACGCGGATTCGATATGGCTTGCACGCCGATGTGACGCGCTTGACACGGAGTTGACGCAGATCGCGACTTGACTGGACAAACGAGGTGTTTCGAAGATTCAACACAAAGTTTTCGATTCCTATATAAATCCAATCAGCCCCGAACTCTCGAATCCTCTCGCTTCAGAGTTTCAAGATTGTCCCGATGTAGCACACGCATGGCACTCGGGCACTCCAACGGGAGGCGCCAGGGAGCGCTTTCTCGCCACAGGCCTATACAGTCAAGCCGCATCGTCAGGATGACCGGCTTTCCAAGGCTACCTTTGCACCCTTGCCCCTTCGGCCCATCTCTGGTGATGATCTTCGCTTGCCAGCCCCGTTCGGAGACGCTAACATGGCGCTCTAAGGCCCTTGCATCCTTGCCGCGCATCCTCACCCTGCGACATGTTTATATCCCCGCAGATGCTCACAGGCGGAACTGCCAGGAACCGAGATGCACACGCGGGCGACGCAGAGCAGCGGGGCAGTCTTGCGCGGCCATTCGTGCGCCAGCTGCCCGCGTAAGGTCGCGCGTCGGGGCCCTCGTCTCCAGTGTGGCGTGCCGCACTGCCGGCCCGCGTCAGCCACCGCGTCAGGGCGCTACAGTCGGCCCGGATGAGTATCGGGGGCGGAGAAAGAGGGGGGTGATTCAGGGGTGGACAGAACCCCCAACAGTGACACGTCGATTAGTGAATTGTCCGTTTTCGGTTCTCGAGAGGGCGCCGTGGCCGTTATTTTCCAGGCTTGCGCCCGCCAGGTTTGGGCCTCAGGTCGTTTTCACTAAACCACGTTTTACTAAAGGGGGGTCTGTCCATCCCCGAGTGATGACTAGGGGGGGGTGGATATCATGGCGTGGGCCATGATATTTCCCCAGATTCCATGGCGCCTCTTCTTGTTTCATTACGTCCCTGGCCCCCCCTCGGGCCGCGCACGTGCCGCCTTCCATGATTTGTACCCCCCCCTCTTGGACGCCCCCCTCTTGGCCGCCCCCGATAGTAGGTCGACCCTGCCAAATCAAGGGTACCTTTGTGTCCTGTGTCTCGCGACCCGTGCCTCCTGCATTCCTACGGCAGTGTGGCCCTCGGAAGGGTCTTGTGTCCTCTCGCGTGTCCTGTCCAATGAAGTCCAACTGTATGCCATCTCGCGGAAGACCTGTTTCTGCTCGTCGTTCATAGACGGGGACCTCCGCGCCGAAGAAGTTCAAAACGTTGGATGTCTGGGCATGAGTGTTCGGCGTGGCTGGCAAATCATGGGAGCCAGGTGCACCCTCTGAATTTCATCTTTAGTGTCGATGAGCGTCGATTAGAGTCTGGGCGTCGATAAGATAGCGCCGATGTAGCGTAGATTTAGCGTCGGTTTGCGTCGATCTTGCGTCGACTAGCGTCGATTCGCAAGAACTGACAAGATGTTACAGGAGGCTCACACGAGTTGCCACCGAATTCGGCCCCTGCATCCCAGAAGCCCGCACGGACGTCCGAAAGTTTACAGTCAACCCCCATAGTAAGGATGGGCAACCTTCCCAAGGGTACCCTTGCACCCTTGCCCCTTCGGCCCCACCTCAGCGACTTGGCAGCCTCGCTCGAAAAACTCTAACATGGCCCTCCAACGCCCTTGCATCCTTACAGTCAAAAGCCGTAATAAGGACGCGCGGTAAGGACGCCAGATCTTTGGAAGCCGAAGTTGGAATTTTTGGGGCGGCGGACGACGAAAACCTCAAGGACGCAAGAGCAAGGAAGAGCAAGGACGCAAGGGCACCCTGGGCAAAGTCGCGCGTCCTTATCAGGGCTTTTGACTGTACCGCGAACCCTCCTCATACGGGTTGACTCTACACCCCCGCGCCTGTCCCTCTCCCCCTGCGCAGGCGGGCCCCGCGACCGCCGCCCGCGGGCCAGCGGAGCCCCCCGGCGAGGCCGAGCCCGAGGCGGGCCGGGCCGCGCAGCGCCGTGGGGGCGGCCGCCGCCGCGGGGGAGGGCGAGGCGTCGGAGGAGCTCGCATTCGAGGGTCGAAGAGAGAGAGGAGATCGAGGGGATGGAGTCGAGGACAAGGAGATCGAGGGGATCGAGGGGATGGAGTCGAGGAGATCGAGGGGATAGAGTCGAGGGTCGAAATGATGAGGAGATCGAGGGGATCGAGGTGGATGCGATCGAGGAGGTCGGGGACACATCGAGGTCCGAGGAAACGTTGAGGAAAAGTCGAGGATCGAGGTGCCGAGGCATGGTTTTGTGGTTGTTCTTCTCTGGTCCCCTCGAGCGCGCTCTCGTCGCCCCCGGGGCTGGGTTCCCCAGGGGGCCAGGGAGGCGCGTCCCGGCGAGTCGCAGTCAGTGCGGGTCGCCTTCGTCGTCCTCGCCACTTACGACGACGACGACGACGACGACGACGACGACGACGACGACGACGACGGCGGCGGCGGCGGCGGCGGCGGCGGCGGCGGCGGCGGTATGCCCGAGCGCCGCGCAGGACAGGGCGACGCTCGGGCGCGCCACCGCCCGGTTGTTGCCCCCGCCCCCCGCCCCTGGATGGGTACTTGTTCGGTGGCTGTGGTTTGGCTCAAGCATTGCCCCCTTGGGAAGGCCCAAGGGCTTAGGGCTCAAGCCTTGATTTGTTTTGCACCATGCCTCCCTGCCAGGTCTGCTTAAGTCATGGCGTGGCCGGCGAGGCGATCCCGGGCTCGGCCTTCTGCGCCGCGCACGGGCCGGCGGGGCCCGCCCCGCCATCTCAGCCCCCGATGGCGGCCCCTGCTGCGGCGCCCATGGACACCGACGACGGTGACTCCGGCGCCACGCAGGGCATGGCATCCCTGCAGGTGGGCGCTGCCGTGGACTCTGGCGTGGACCAGACGATAGCCGAGCTGGACGCCATCGTGGTGGACCAGGAGGCGATCGCTCGGACCCCGGCCGCCGCCGCGGCTGCTGGGCCGGCCACGTTACCGCCTGGACTCCCAGAGCCAGGACTTGGCGCCTCGGTGGCCGTACCGCCGCCTGGACCAGGCCGCGCCACAGAGGTTCTGACCCACCTGTTGAAGGAGTGGTTCGAGCATGAACTCCTTCAGCATTTCGAGCTGGTGCAAGCCAACGTCGATGCAGACCCTGGGGTTGCCGCTCACCCGTTCAAGTACCCGGCCTGCTGGGACGACCTGCTCATCATCCTGAAGCGCATGGGCTACCATCTCGACGCCCAGGACCCCTGGGAGGTGATCGGGTATGCCAAGTTGGACGGGCCAGACCCCACTGCGATCGGCCTAGCTGCTCGTGACCGGGCTGCGCGCGAGGTTCTTTCCTTAGCGTTGCACGCGGGGTGGAGCAGCACGGATCAGCAGCGTGCGCAAGCGGGGTTGGCTACGATCTCTCAGGCCGCCAGGGCCTGCGAGACGGATCTTCCGGAGGTCCTTATCGAGCGTCGCCGCCTGAAGCCCGCGAAGCTGCCGCGGTGGAAGGAGTTGGGGAAGGACGCGCTGGGGATCCTTCGGAGCAACTCGGTCTCCCCGGACATGATCCCCTTGACTCAGTGGTCCAACATATTACAGGCCACCCCTAACCCCGAGACGACCTTGCCGCTCGCCCGCGCCTTCGCTTCGCTCGCCGAGAAGGGGGACGACCGAATGTGGGACCTCGTGAGCGGCAAGCACGTATGCATCTGGGCCCCCAAGGATCCGAATGCGCTTGCACGATGCCTTGCCTCTTTCTTACGCCGTGTCTCTGAGGACCGACGGCCGGCTTCGCTCCAGATGATCGCCAGTTTCCCATGTGAGAAAGGCATGAGCTCCGTGAGCAACATCACCGACATCTGGAACTTCCCCCCCCTCTTGTCCGAGAAGTGGATGTCGATCGTCCGGGGGGTCGCGTTCGCTTCCTTCCCCTTCGAGCTGGTCACGTCCAGCCCCGTCAACGTCCCCAGGCACGAGTCCAAGGGCATTGCTATCTTCACGCTCTCGCACGTGGGGCCCCGGAGCATCCCTAAGATGATCAGCCCCGGTGAGATCTTGCAGGTGCCCGACTACGACGCTTTCACATTCGACATGCACGTGGACCACCTCCCGCAGTTCCTCGCGCTGGCTCGCACGGACGGCTTGCGCGACGCTTGCTTCCGGCATCACCGCCGGAGCCCTGCCAGCTCGACAGAGTACCCAAGGGTCGTCATTGATATCATTTTCCCTGCTTCGGCCACCGCCCTGGACCAGACAATGCTCTTGCAGGGGCTTCGCCGACGGCTCCCTCACACCGACATCTTCTACGGCAGCAAGGCCCTCATGAGCGCCTCGGACGCGATGGTCTTGGAGTGCAACGGCCCCGGCTCAGCGCACCACTTCTGGCCGCTCTGCTCACAGATGCTTGCTCTCGACTCCAAGCGCTACCTGGTCGTCACGGCGGCTTCGAACGACACGTGGTCGGAAGTCATGGACCAGGTTTACCTGCACGACAAGCAGAGCGCGGCAACCAGACTCAAATGGAAACCCTCTCGCAATGGCGGCCGGGTGGAGGCAACCCCGTCCGCGACAGCCACAATGCTCAACGCGGAGCGGCGCCTCGGCAACAAGGCGAACCGGATCTCTGAACAGATCGCCGAGATCGTCGTGAAGGGCGAGCTGGGCAAGGACGACGCGGTCGTGCTGAAGCTTCTGATGGACCACGCCTGCAGGGCTACGGGCGTCCAGTTCACCGAGGCCTCCAACCCCGACGCGCCCCGGCCAGGGGAATACTACCACTTGGCCTCGCAGGAGGCGCACGCGCCCGCTAGCGCAATCAAAGTGCTCGCCAAAAACCAGGAGGACCTTCGCAAACTCTATGCGGCACTCCACGGCCAAGCCATCCAGGTGGGCAGGGACCTCGTCGGCATCGAAGTCAAGAACGACCTCATGTTGACCACGCACGGGCTGGGAAACGGCACGAGGGCGCGGAACTAGGTGTCCGCCGCGCCCGGGATCACCCAGGACATCCGTCGCAGCCCGGCTGCGATTTTGGAATTCGTTTCATTGATTGCATGGGCTTATCGGGCTATGCCGTGTGGGTCGTCTTTCGCCTCCGCGATGCTTTGGCTTCGTCGAGTTGCTTGGGCCGCTCACCGGCACCACCCTCGAGCCGTTCTCCGACGTCTTCTACCTCTCGTTCTCGCTCCCCCTCCCTCAGGACCGTAATTTGCAACGACCGCATACTTCCACTACTCCCTCCGCTGACCATTCATGAGCCGGACGTGGCCTCCGCCGCGAACGAGCGTTCCAGGGACGTACCCGCTTGTATTCTTCGCCGCCAACGGCTTCTTCGAGCACTCGGCGCCATCAGCCCTGATACGATCCTCCCACCGCTGCTCCGAGCACCACCGGCGGCGCAGCCCTCCTCAGCCGGCCGCCGCGCGGGCCAATTCGCAGGCGATGTTTCTGCTATCACATGGAACGCGCAGGCCCTCTTCGCCGCGGACCCTTTCCGGCATGCTGCCAAGAGCGCCTACGTGCACAAACTCATGCACAAGGCGGACATCATCATGATCACGGAGGCGCACGGCTCGGAGATCTCCAATTCCACGTGGCATAGGCCGCCGAACACCACGGCCTGGTGGTCGCAGGGGCCCACGCCGGGACACGCCGGAGTCGGTCTCATCATCAAGGACTCTTTCCTCCAGCAGTTCGAGCCCAACCCCGCGTTCATCCACATCTGGCGCGGCCGCGCTGCCGTTCTTCGCCTCCGCGGCCCCTTCGGCGCTTTGGACGTGGTTGTCGGATACTTTCACACGGGCTCGTCGAATGAGTTGTCCGAGCATGACATGAGCGGAGTACCGGAGCACCTGAAACCTTCCATCACATCCTTCCCGGAGCTTCGCCGCCTCCTGCGCTCCCGCATCGCCAACAAGCTCTCTAAGCAGGACGACGCGCTCGCGTTATTCGGCGGAGACTTCAATTACGTAGCCTCCGAGTTTGACCGGACCTCTTTGACGTCAGCGCAGGCTACTGGTCGTAAAGACCGTGGCGAAGAGAAACATTTCCAGGAGATTTTGGGTGTCAAGTTCGGACTCGTGGACATGTATCGGGGCGACTGCACGCACGCCTCCGGCACATCACGGGCTCGTCTGGACCGGATCTACTGCAATCAACACGCTTCTGAACAACTTGATCGGCATCTCCGGTCTTCGGTGCTCGAATGGCAGCGGGAACTATCACATCACAGGGCAGTGTCCTTTGCCCGGTGCGCCCCGCAAAAGCAACCAGGGGCAGAGAGCGGTTTGTCGCTGAGGGCCGTATCGCACCATGACTTCCCACGCCGCCTGGCGCTGGAGTACCATGACTCTGTGAAGTGCCTCCACAATCCAGGTGCCCTCAGGAAGCTGCAGCACTACAAACGCTGTATGCAGACGGTGGCTGCTAACATCGACAAGGAGTTCCAGACGCCCGAGCGGGCGTCCAGCCTCGAGGATAGAATTGGCGCCACAATTAAATTCATCCGCGCGGTGGAGAACGGCTTCGTTAACAGCATCTCGGACTGCTTGTTGCGGTACCCGCTCCTGAAAGACATCGTAGGCAATCCCTACGCTCTCGACCGGAACAACTCCCGCCACCTCCGCCCGGCCAGGGACCATGTGATTGAGCTCGCACGGGATCACGCTCTCGATGAGTTGGGCAAGTCCCACAGAGACTTGACCTCAGGGCACACCCAGCGCGCCATGCAGGCCAGACAGCGGAACGCGAGGCTCATCTACAGGATTACCCCGGGTCGCTCCTGCAGCGTCGGCGCCGTCGTGGACGCCGCCGGGGAGATCCAAGTCACGCCGGATAGAATGACCGCCGTTCTCCGCGAGCACTGGTCGACTATTTTCACGGCGCACGGCATCGACGACGCCCTGTTGGAAAAGTGGCTGGACGACGACGTGGACAGCAAACCGGCCAGCGAGCTGAGCCCCTTCCCCCGCGAAGAGTTCAGGCTCAAGAAAAAGCACATCCGCTACGCCATCTTGAATGCCAAGAACACCGCCCCTGGCCCCGACGGGATTCCGTTCCGGGCTTGGTCGCGCGCTCCGGGCCTGTCCGCGGACATCCTCCACGAGGCGGCCCAGGCGCTGTGCAGCGACCAGGGCGCGGAACTCATGGAGGCAGACTACGAGGATTTCAACGTCAGTCTCCTGTATTTTCTCCCGAAAAAGGCGTCTGGCACTTGCCCGACCGGCGAGGGCTACTACGAAGCCGCGAACGTCCGCCCGCTGAACGTGACGAACACCGACAATCGGCTGCTCGCCAACGCCGTCCGCATGGCGATCGAGAAGTGCGTCGGCTCCAGGGTTTCTGCTTTCCAGCGAGGCTTCATTGGGGGGCGCTCCCTCCTCGCCAACCTGGTCGACGTCGAGGAGGCGATGGCGCTAGGCGCCTGTGAGTCCGAGGACGCCGCGGCCATGTTCTTTGACTTCGCGGCGGCCTTCCCGTCCATTGAGCACGTCTTCATGAAGAAGGTTTTCCGGAAGCTGGGCTGGCCACCGTGGCTACTCAATTTCATCGACACGTTGTACGCACGGAACCAGTGCGTCATCGTCCTGGGCGGCCCCCGGCATCGAGGTTTCGACGTCACCAGGGGCATCCGACAAGGCTGCCCTCTATCCCCGCTCCTGTTTGCCGTGGCCTCCAACCTTCTGCTCTGCACGATGCTGCGGGAGATCCCCGGTGGCGCGCTCAGAGCTTATGCGGACGACACGGCGTACGTGCACGGGGACATGTGGGCGCATTTCTCTGCTTTGGAAAGGATATTCAGCGAGTATGGGCTTATCTCGGGCTTGGCGCTCAACGTCGGCAAGACGGTTCTGGTGCCTTTGGCCCCTTTCGACGCCCAGGCCGTCCGGGAGCGCCTGCGCAGCGTCGCCCCCGCATGGGGTGGCCTGGAGATCAGCTCTACAGCCAAATACTTGGGGTTCGTGGTGGGCCCGGGCCGGGAGGAGCTGTCCTGGCGCGCGCCGCTCGACAAATACGCGGCCAGAGCAAAACTTTGGGGCGCAGTGGGCCTGGGCATGCTGAACACGCTGGACGCGTACTCGGTCTTCGTAGCGCCAGTGCTCTCGTTCATCTCCCAGCTGGACCCGCTGCCGCCGTCCTTCGTGGATGTCGAGGCCGAGGTCTGTCAGATTCTATTCCCGGGCCCCTCGGGGTGGATGTCGGCCAGCTGTTTGAAATCTCTCAAGATGTTTTCTTTTCCGAAGGACTTGTTCGACGTCCGCTGGTCGGCCGTGGCGGCGCGGGCGCGCGTGGCGGTGTTCGAGGGCGCGGCGAACGGAGGCCTTCGAGTCCAGATGCGGGCCAAGGCGCTCCGGCAGGCGATCAGCTGGCCGAGGAACGCCGCCCTCGCGGCCTGCATGGTTCCCTGGCTGTCCAAGAACTTCTTGTTCTCATTATCTGACGCCGTCGACCAAGTCCAGTCCAGGGAGCGACACCTTCACGTTGAAGTGTCGGTGCTGCGCCGCGACGGCCACGCAGTCCAGGAGCGCGAGGGCTGGCAGGCCCGGGTGAGGGAGCTTCTCAATCCACGCGGCGAGGACCTGGCCAGGGCGCACGCCCGGGCCCGCCTCGACCGGTGGCGTTCCCCAACCCTGCCTGGCCATCGAATCCACAGATGGTTGAGCACTCTACGAGCTACGTCAGCCTGGCTACCGCCGAGAGTGAAAGCTTGCCAATTGCGGACGGCGTTCAACGGTTGGCTGACGAGCCGCCGAATGCAAGGCAACGGCAAGTGCATATTTGGATGCAGAGCCGAAGACAGCATCGAGCACTATGCCTTCTGCCAGCCGTTCCACCACGCGTGCGCCCGGAAGCTGAACTTGCGCAAGCCTCCTCCTGAGTGTTGCCTCGATGATTTTCTCGGCATTGCCCCGCATGCCGCTGAGCCCTATCAGACTCCAGCCATGGCAGCGGCGGCTAGAGCCATTGCGGTGTATGCCCTGTACAGGACGCACAATGCCGTCCGGCACGGCGCTGCCTCTACCGCAAGTGCGGACCTTTTCATTGGCTTTTTGCGCGAGGCTATTCGCGGCCACGCGAAAGCTTTGGGCCTCGTGGCTTCCGCCTTCCAACGACCGCGCCCCGAGTGAGGGCGGCCTGAGCGGTTTCGGCTCTTGAAACCCCTCTTCGAATTTCCTTCCGGCCCTCTTCGAATTTCCTTCCGGAGGCTTTGTGGCCCCTCTTCGAATTTCTTGTTTTCCTCCGTCGCTTCCTGCCCTCGCTCCCGCTCCCTCCGCTGAAGTTGTGCCTGCCTATTTGGCCGCGGAGTGCCGCGGGGAGTCCCGACGCTGCGGTGCGCGGCGCCCATGCCAGGAGACTCGCAGCGCATAGGCCCAGTCAGCGTTGTCCCGGCCGCGTGGCCGATAGCTTGCGTTCACGGCGTGTTCCCCTCCTCCCTCCTCCTCCTCCTCGTCCTCCCCCCCCCTGTTTGGAAGGGATTGTGTGACATGTTGCACGTGCATGACTGAAGCCACACGCCCAAAACCGCGGATAGGCCGGTACACACAAAATGACGTTGTCAAGATCAGCCCGTGTGCCTGGCACTCCGGCTGCTCACAGGGCTGGAGGCCCCCCCTGTCACCCCCGGCCGGCTACGGCCGCAGCTAGGTGGCCGGAGGCTTTGGTTGTGGTAGGGGGAGCGTTGTGAAGGCATGAGTAGGGTAGCTCCTGTGTTGATTTGCATTTTAACGCCGTTTCTCGCTCAGCCGCCGGAGGCGGTACTCACGATAGCCTACACCGTGCCCCCGGGCAATATCTGTCAATGGTGGCCCTGTGGGAGTGTAGCCAATCGCACTGCTTGAAATCACGCGTAGCCGGGCGGCAACCTCAAGCGATTCGAAGTCCCCCTCCCTTCTCTTCCTCCCGCGCTCGCCTCCCTGGGGCGGAACGCTGGCTAACCCTGCCTGGGTAGGCCTGCTTTCCGCCTCGTCTTCCGGCTCCCCCTTTCTCCTCTCTCTTAATTAATGCCCTGATGCCCGCCTGGGCTGTCGGATTCAGGAATGGCTGGAGGCCCGGACGCAGCTCGGGAGAACAGACGGCTACTGCCGCGGGGCAGGCTTCGGGGTCCGCTTTTTGGTTTGATCCGCTCCTGGTCGGCACTCTCTGTGTGGCTTCTGCCCAGGGGCTCGCCTCACTTAGTTTCTTATCTCATTCTCCACTCAGTTTAGGTCGTTGTTTTTTTGCGGGCCTGGTCAGCCCTTCCTTTGCTTCTCCCTTTGTCGTCGTCCTCCCACTCTCCCTTTGTGTGTCAGTGTATTTCATCGTGCTGCCGTCTGGCCGCTCGATCTTCGAGGGCGTGTAGGTTTACGTGGTGATTCATGGAGCATCGTACTACGCCTTAGTTTATATCCCTTCTTTGGGTCTTTGCTTCCCTCCTGCTTTTCCTCCTCCTCCCCTCGTCCTCCTGTCTCTCTCCCTCCGCCAGGTGTATTTGGCGAACGCCCAGGGTGGCACGCTCTGTTTCACCAGGTCGTTTTCGCGAACACCCAGGGTGGCACGTTTCTGTTTCACCAGGTCGTTTTTGCGAACGCCCATGGTGGCACATTGCTCTCTCTTCGAGCTTGCGGCAGGATCTTCGGCCACGTTCGCAGAACAAACCTGCTACGTGTGCGTGGTGCTCAGTCGCGGGGTCCGCTCCGATCTTCTCCCTCCCAAAAAAAAAAAAAACTTGTTCGGTGGCTGTGGTTGACCCACAATGGGCTCCAGCTGAAAGGCGGTGGTGCAATAGATTTGGTGCAATAGATCTGTGGGGTTGCAATAGACTTGGGACGTGCAATACGTTCGAGTGCGCAAATGTCTTGTTGGGCTTTCGCGTGCAATGCGTTAGCTGCAGTACAATGCAATACAACTCTCTGGCGCAATACATCTGCCATACTATTGCCCCACATCTATTGCACCATCCCCTTTTCTATTGCACCATCCCATTTTAGCTGGACCTCCTAATTTGGGGTCAACCAAGTGGTCCATGCTGCCCATCTACAGCACGAAGAACGGTACAGCCGCGTACGCATGAGCTCTCGGAGGTCCGCTCGGATTTCGTGGATCGGCGCTGGGCGTCCTCCTTCCCCCGCGCGCGGAGCTCTCTGCAGTGTTGTTAGCCTTCTAACTTCGCCGTCATCGTCGTCGTTCGTCCGTGCCGATCCGATGGATCTGGTTCGATGTCGATGCAGGCAAGCCCGATCCGTGTCAATGCCTTTGACGGAACACGACGCATGGAATATGTGCCTGGGGGGGTCGTCATCACGCATCGGTGCGTGGGCGTGGTAGAAACACCGATCTTTCTAGCCCGAGAAACTATTTGTCTGATCGGTTTCCCCCTTTTTCGTGCTGATTGTCATCCCGCGCTTGTGGGGAGGGGAGGAGGATCGAGAAGGGGAGGGAGGACAAGAAGTAGAACAGACATAGGCCCAGACCCTACGTCCGCCAGACACGTCCAGCAACTCTTCTGGAGGAGGGGGTCGGAGCAGGTGGCAGGAGGAGCAGGGGGGGATACACCTGGAGGGAGGAGGAGGAGGAGGAGGATTAGGAAGCAGCGGAGCGCATCTGTGCACCCCGTTGGCCCCCTTACAGGCGGAGCCCGCCGGGCACGCGGCCGCCCAGCTGGGCGCCCCGGGCGCGCTGGGCGACGTGCGCACGGAGGCATCCGTGCGCGTGGAGGCCTCCATGAGGCCCGCGGCGCCACTGTGGGCCTGTGGGCCTGGGCCTGGGGGGCGACGCCGCCGAGGGACGAGGCGGAGGAGGAGGGGAGGAGGAAGAGGAGGAGGAGGAGGAGGAGGAGGGGAGGGGGCGGGGGAGGGAGGAGGAGGAGGAGGAGGAGGAGGAGGAGGAGGAGGAGGAGGAGGAGGAGGAGGAGGAGGAGGAGGAGGAGGAAAGCGTCATCGAAGGGAAGGTGGGGGCCACGAGGTCCGCCGGCTCGACGACGCCCGCGTCGCCCGCGCCCGCCCCCTCACTCTTATCCGCAATTACGGGGTGCTACGTATTCTTCGCTGGCGATCACATGGACACGCTGCGCTTCGATGTCCGAAGCGGGAGCGGCTTCACCTTTCCCAATCGTCACCGCCATACGATCACATCATATCATCATCAACATCATCATCGAAAACGCACACAGCCAACCACCGCCGCCCCCCTGCTTGTTGGGGAACGCCTCTGTGGTCAAACGTCGGACCCTAGCTTGGCCAAGCTATCGGATAATGTGTCCCCCCCAACCGCTGTGGAAATTCTGGGGGGAACGCTATCGGATTACGCGTCCCCCCAGCCGTTGTGAAAATTTGGGGGGGAACACTGGGGGGAGGATGAAAGGGAGGATCAAGGGAGGAAGGAATCTGATGATGACGACGATGGTGATGATGGTGATGATGATGATGGTGACGCTGCTAATGACGATGATGATGATGCTGATGATGATAATGATAATGATGATGATGATGATGATGATGATGATGATGATGATGATGATGATGGTGATGGTGATGGTGATGGTGATGGTGATGGTGATGGTGATGGTGATGACGATGATGTTGATGAAGCGCCCTCCATGGCGGAGCTCCTGGAAGCCACGTGACCACAGAATAATAATCAGACCTTGTCCGACTGTTTTTTGCATCCCAGAGAAAGGGTAAATTCGTGAGCAAATCTGTGGTGGGCCGCGGGATCAATCGAGCTTTCGGGATTGAAAGCTGTGGTCCACCCGCTGTTGTCCCACCTGAGCACTCTGCCACGCGAACATATGGAAAAACGCTTTCGAGGGGATGCCGACAGAGGATGATGATGATGATGATGATGAGGAGGAGGAGGAGGAGGAGGAGGAGGAGGAGGAGGAGGAGGAGGAGGAGGAGCAGGAGGACGGCATCTTGGGAGCCTCTTGGGGCACTCGTGGGGCCTCCTGGGAGCTTCTTGGGGGCCTCTTGGAGGCCTCGTGGGGGCCTTTGGGGGGCCTCCCGGGAGCCTTTGCGGTTTTCGTGGGGGCGTTTGTGGCCGTCTTACCGCGTTCGTGGCCCGTCTGACGCTGTCGGGAGCCGTCTTGGGGCCATCTCTGCACCGACTTGGGCCCCCCTTTGGATGCATCAGGACTTTAAACGGAGAAGGTTAAAGGCGAGGTATAAATCGAGCATGTACCGCTGCCGTGCCTGGCTCAAGCCGGGCCCGGCCAAATATGTGATTGTGCCTCACCGAGGCGCACGACTTGTATCTGAGATCGGAAAATACCTTTTCCATTGACGATGCCCATCCTATCCTTTACTCCAGATCCCATGCTTCGTCTTGCTCTCTTGCTCATGCGATATGAGCCAAAGCCTGGGATATGGCAACGCTTAAAGCGTAACACATACCTAAGCTTACCAGCTTGTTTTCGACTTGGTAGCGGAGCTGGCTACACTCTCGTGTGGCTGGCTCTCGCTCTGATTCCTGTAATCCACGGCACAACTTGGTGGACTACTACTACGGTGGAATACCATGTTGCGCCGGCTCTGCGAGGAGCGGAGCCAGTCCGCGATCGAGCTAGCGGGGCAACCCGCGAACTCGAGACGCTCTCTCCTACTTCACTGCGCCACTTCACTCTCGACTTCCACCAGATGCCAATCGGCAACTCGATCGAGAACGTGGTCACCCTGCGGGGCTACCCGCAGCGGGGCCACCTGCATCCCGTGCCAGTCAGGCGCCTCACGGCTACTACGCCAGAGCCTGACAAACCACAGCCTAAACCAATCACCGAAGCCGAAATGCACATGCACTGGATTAAGATAACTATCTTCGGCATTCTGTGGGTAATAATGGGATGTGCTGTGGGATACATGCGGCAGGGGATGGACGACACGCGTACTACTGGCCCTTCATGGGACCCTGCCGGTACTACGCCTTTTCGCGAATACGTTCGCGAAGTACATGCATGGATAAACGTAACGAGCGGCAATATGACGCCACCACAACAAGCTGCAGCACTACAACGAGGCCTTCAAGGTCTTGCTCGTCGTATCGCCATGCAGGTCCCCTCCCAGATCATCAACTATGGTGTAACTGTCAATGGACAGCCAACGGATGCAGTCACATATATACTGTACCTACTGAGCACCAAATTTGAAAATCTGGAAGATGAGCGCCAGCTCAACTCTGGCACTGCCCTTATCGACTTCCGCGTCGAAAGGGGCGAGCGAATCGACTCAGTATTAGCTCGATTCGAGATGGCCCGTGACGAGGCTAACTCTGTTGGCTTTGTCATCCCCAACTTTCAGATCCTAACGCTGATTCTCTTCAGAGCGTTAGGCGTTGGCGCGTCACGAGCCCAACACCTGCTGGAGCCTTTTAATCATCAGATGCCCAGAACACAAGCAGACTATGACAGGCTGCTGACCAGGATGAGGAACTACGGACATGTTGCCGAGCGCTCTCCTGGCAACATTGCGGGTATCTTCACAGGGCACCACTCACATGCAGGTGTCTACGCCACGACTGCGGGGTCACCCGCTGGTCCTGGCGAGCCAAGTCCCTGGGCTGACCCAGCCGATATGCCCAACGAGGCCACTGCCTTCTTAGGGCAGACCGGCCAGGCATCGGCAGAGGCAGCTGAGGCGAACGCCTGGTCGAACTACTCGCCAGGCGCCGCCTACACTGCAAGCCCGCCCTCGGGCACAACCCTCTGGGGCCAAGCGGAGTCATCCGCTCAAGGGTCTCAGCCACCCTCACCGTTTGAATCTGGCACTGACACAGACACCTCATCTGACGATGAGCACAATGGCATAGTCTCTGCTGGTAATGACTATCCAGCGGATGACACTCACCTTTCTGAACAACAAAGAGCGGAAGCCGCTTTTATGGCTTATCGCAAATCAAAACGCCGTTGGAGGCGCTTTATGAAGAAACCAGTCAGAAAAGTGAGACGTGCAGTACGCCGACATTTCAAACGATATGGAAAGGGTCGTGGCAAAGGGGGTCGCAGACGCCGTATGCATGGTAGGGGTATTACTGCTTTCCTCACGTCCTTAACTGATATAGTTTTTGAAGAAGTTCTTATCGGAGGCAAAGGTCGGGGTCACAGGCGGACCTCTGGTAAGGGAAAAGGGCGGAGGGGCAACCCTAGGGACGCTTCTGGCAATACTATGAAGTGTCATACATGCGGTAGCACAGAGCATTTGCGCGATCAATGCCCGAAAGGGAAAGGAAAGGGATCCGTACATTTGGCTCAAAACTCTTTTATGGATGACATAGGCTACATTGACTACGAGTTTTACGTCAATCCAGAAGCGGCTCCCGCCGCGGGCTCCTCCACGTATTACGTGATGGCCCGCTACGCTGAAGTGACCGTAGCCCTGGAAGACTACGCGGTGACCCTCTTCGACGAGTTCCACGGCTGGGACGAAGTCGACGAGGTCGCGTTCAATGCTTGGTTCGGTCTTCCAGCGGGGCCACCCGCCGACGACGAGATCTCCGAAGCTGAGACCGTCCCGGCGACCGAGGAAGAGCTCACCGCCGCGCTGGCACCGCAGGTGATTGGCACGCCGTTGCTGCCAGATCTTCCGCGAGCTGGCTCGGAAGCGGGAGACGCTGATGACGAAATGCGGGGCCATCCCGCGCATTCTGACTCCGAAGAGGCCGAAGAGGACTATAAGGACATGCTCCAAGAGCAGGTCGCAGAAGCAATCCGGCTCCTGAGTGCGCCAGCACATCAGCAGATAACCATGAACGACCTGCTGTCGCGCCCAGGGGCCGCACGGCTGCGTCCATACCTGGAACCAGACATGTCGGCACCTCAGATGCTGACAGCACTCCAGGCTCTAGCGGGGTCACCCGCCGAAGTGACGCCAGCCGCAGCAGCGGGGCCACCCGCTTGGTCTATGGATGTATTTATGCAGGGCTGCGACCAGATGGACCTCAACGACCTCGCGATGGAGCAGCTAAACGACATCGGGTACTTCAGGAGCCCGTATCAGCACGTATTCATGGTCCAGGACAGCTCAGAGGACTCGGAGGACATGCGCTATGCCAAGAGGGACAGACGACCATCGCCTCCCCGAGACTCAGAGCATGACGATCAAAGGCCCATGGAACATGGTAGTGCGTCAGCGGGGCCAGCCCGCAGGAGGAGCCGTTCAGCTCCCCGACGCCCTACACATGATGCATCGGGCTACCCGTGCAGTACGGAGCACTCCGTTGGTGTATCCGCTCAGTACGTGCCGGAGTGGTACATCAATTGGTACCCCGGCTACTCGATGGACGTGATCCGCCACTGGTATTCTAAGGAATACTGCACCAAAAGGGACGAAACTGGCATGATAATACGTACCAAGGGTGGCAAGACCAAAACGCCAGAGGCTTGGGACAAAAGGGCTAAGAAACAGGAGATCATCAGAGATCGCAAGACATACAGAAAACAAGTATGTCAGTGCGAGCCCTTCAAAGGTCACATGCGCAGTTGTCCAATGGACCGCCCCTCCAGGAGTCCTCATCACGGTGAGACCCCGTGGAATTGGTCTCATGGAGATGACGCTGGCAACGTCCATGATCCTAACAAGGAGGTCCCTGGAGGAGGAAAGCGCATCACAGAAGCCGATCGCGTCCCTATGACCGAAGAGGTTGCCAACACTGTCAGGGAAAATTGGGTACAGCTTCCCAATGACCATCGCCTCAAGGAATGGAACCGCCGATTCCATAAAGAGGCGGGGTCACCCGCAGG